ACACGCCTGGGCGAAAAGCGATCCACCACCGCTGCATAAAACATCCTCATTGAGGATGAATCGACGGGAAATGACCCAGCACATACAATATAGGCGTCAAATCAGCATCCATCGAGCCTGGGGCAGCCCATGCTGCTTCTCAATGAGGTAAAAGGACTACAACAGCCGTATTGAGTACTGATCTACACTTCTATCCAGTGGGTTGCCAAAATCGTCGTAAATCAGTAAGACTGCGGAGCAGTTGGAGTCACAACCCGTACGGCTCTCACAGTTGGTCACCACCCGTATGGTTCTCACAGTTGGTCACCACCCGTATGGCTCTCCCATTGCGCAGCTCCCATACGCGTGAGTGGGAGCCAAGTGGACGGGTACAGAAAAGGGCTTTCGTCGTCGTTTCTTTCCATTAAACTGCCAATAATTAATCAGGTATGTGAACTAAAAAGCTTGATGGCAGAATGGCATTGCTTGCCTGTTTGTAAGACAATACGCACCAGCAAAATAGTGTGGGGTTCCCAACGGATGAAGTGACCCTGGAAACAAGAACCTTCCGGCCCTAGTTTGCAGCGTGTGGCAAGAGCCAGATGGACTCTGGAGCCAAAAATGTCCAAGGATTTTGTGTTGAAAAAATAGTACTTTGGGTTACACACGTGGGAATGTAGGCCAGCAGCGGCCGGTGAACAAAAAATTTACCACGGAGTCCTCAGGGTAAGAAAAAGAAACCTTCAGAACATGAAGCCTGTGAGCTGTGGTGAGAGTCGTTAGCCCGGGGAGAGCCCAAAAGCCACAGAAAGTTCACAGACCATGAAAGGGGATCTCGCAGGCATTTGGAACACGCCGAGAGGACTGCTGTTCTGAAAATCAAGCTTTGTCTGTCTACACCCCAGTTCAAGCCGCCCTCATGTTTGGAGAGTCGACCCCACCAAACAAGCTTTTTTAATTGTATTTTCCATGAGTCAAGCGGAAGGTTCTAGTTAAAAAAAAACATTTTTCCAGCCAAACAAATTCCAAACAATTGAAATATCAATAATTCTGCACATTTTATTCTGTCGTAACACTATGGATTAAACATTGGTGTGGCCCTAAACAAGGTAGGCAGCATTTGTTTCACAGTGGCTTTGCAAAAAGCTTGCAGGGCTATTACCAGACGAAGAGCAAACTCTTGACAACAAAAGGTCAATCAGCACCTCCGGACTTATGTGGTCACATGAGTCCAAAGATGTCACCAACTTCTACAGTTAGTTAAAAGCGATTTCATATACGTCGTTAATGCCATCTAAGATACTTGAATGTGAAAATGGATGTGACAGTGGTTTCAAAAAAGGCATTCTCAGTACCTGTACTGCGTAGAAATGCGTACTAACATAATTGCAACGACAGGGATCGTGTGCGGACGAAGGCAAAACGCCTCATCGCCTGAGTTGAAGAATGCCACGTGCTTCCCAACAGAGTCTAAATTGAGTCACTGAAGTCAACTCCGTCCGGTCTCGTGAGCCGATCTCCATGCCGATCTGCCAGCCGTGCACCAGTAGTCTCGTGTCCAGCCAGGCCAGGTCGTGACCCGAACACCATCGGCGCCTCGTGCCGCGTGGCCCGGCCTGGACGCCGTGCCGCCGCGGCCGCGCCAGCTGCGCCACTGTTCGTCACGCTCGCCGTCGCATTACGCGGAGACAGAACCACGACCCGGGCCGGGGGACCGGCCGCGCGACCGGCCGGGTAATCTGTCCAGTCCGGGGTCAGCCGTGCGCCGGCCGCGGATCGGCGCCGCCGGCCGACCTTCGCCCGTTCGGCGGCCAGCTTCTGGGGCATCTCATGGGGACAGGTCGGCGGTATTTTTTGCGCTTTGTTTCTTGCCTCGGCGGCGGTGATTGACGACAACTCGCAGTGCTGGCCAGATCTGAGACACGATCCAGGAGAGGGCCGGAAAAGCCGGAGCCGATCTGGGCGCTTACGACCACCGCCAGGCACGAAAGCTTAGACGCGTAATAAATACATTCATTAAATCTGTGTTCTTCAAACGGCCCTGAAGGGCATCCTGAATAGGAAAAACTTTCTTGTTCTACCTACTAAAGCTATGATCATTTTTGGTCCTACAATTACGGTGACAGACCTGAAATTAATTCACTAGCTCCACAAACAGGCAGGCTGGGACATCAACTGCATTGAAAGGAACGAATATCCATGCAGTCCTAGCAACGGCGAAGGGAACATGTAACAGGATAATTTAGCATGTGCTGGCTCTGCCTCCACTCGTTTCTCACTCTGTCCCACTCTCCGAATCTGTTCATACGTTTGCTCAGTCCCATCAAGTTGCCAGAGTTTTTTTGTCCTGCCAAGCTGTCACGGCATGCATCCGCGAGGCGCATTCTAAGGATCGCGCCTGCAGTCGGGCTTGCAATCCCTTATTCATCAGCCTCCTGATCAGCAAGGAAAGGCGAACATGTGGCGAAACCCATCACAACCGGATACGTCGTGAGACCCACCACCACCCCGGATCTGTGGCGAGACCCACCACTCCGGACCTGTGGCGATGCCCACGACCCCGGATTTGTGGCAAGACCCACGACCCCGGATCTGTGAAGAGACCTTCCACCCCCGAACTGTGGCGAGACCCACGACCCAGGATCTGTGGCGAGACCCGCGAAAACAGAACTGTCTTGAGACCCACGACCCTGGACCTGTGGCCGAGACCCCCGACCCCGATCTGTGACGAGACCCACAACCTCCGCAGCTGCTCATAGGCCACGGCAGCGGCCTGCGCGCGCGACCAACAGTCCGTCGCGACAGCCAGACAACGGCAGAACGCCGCTCAGAACACGGTCACCGCCCGAGCACGGTCCGCGTGACCTCGGCCGAGGTCGGGGCCGGCGTAATCGGGGCCCGGCCGGCGGCCTGCCCGTCGCCGCCGCCGGCGTCGCAGTCGGTCAACACCTCCGACCTGTGCTCGGCCTGGCCGGCCACCGCGCGCCTATTGATCACCGGCCGGGAGAGGAGGCGGCCGGCGGCGACGGCCGCCTCCTCAGCAGCCAGCGCCCGTGTGGTCCACCGGTCTGTTTTTTTCTGTACAGCCGACTTGGAGAATTTCAATCTTCTGATTAACATACAGATGGAAACGAAAAGTCCTCGCCGAGTGGCCGGCGCCGGCGGCGGCAGTGGTGTTGGAGGCGGCGAGGGCGGCGGCGGCGGCGGCGGCGGCGGCGGCGGCGGCGGCGCGGCGGCGGAGGCGGGTCGGCGGCCCTCCACGCGCGCGGATCAATCGGTCCCCACCTAGGGCGGCGGCCGAGCGGCCAGCCCGGCTCGGTCGCTCCGCTCCGCTCGCTCGCACCGCCCGCTGGCAGCTCTCCCAGGGCCGACGTCGATGGCCCGTGCCGGCACGCTCACTCCCCGCTATTTATGGACCATGCAAATGATTTTTATAATCCGTCGTTCGTTCGCTTCGATTCCGATTACGACCTTCAGGGCGGACAGAAAGACGGGCGGAATAAGAGAAACGTAAAATCCTTCTAGGCACTTCCCGACGCCGTAAAAGCTCGGAGCGGTTCATTGCTCGTCGACATTTCAACATTTGATCATTGAAAATGCCGCAGTGCCAGGCGGAAAATAAACACGATAAAGGAGGCACATAAAACGGGCCATCGGAGCGGAGGGTCAGATAAAGCCATCAATCGCGGCCACAGTAAGCCTCACCGAGCCGTCTCCCGTCATAAGCGGATACTGTAGCCGGAGAAAGTGATGCCAGCCATCGGGAAAGTCGGGAGGCCGCCGTTTCGGGTCACCCAAGGAGAGTGATTGGGGCCCTGATGACGGCGGCAAACTGTGGATGGTCGGGGCAGTCGGGCCATCTCATGTCATCAGACAAGACAGGGGGCGGAACAGCGCTGTTCGCGATGGCAAGGCCGTTAAGCACCACCACCACCGCGATCCTTGGCGCTCGATCGCTTCATGGAGCAGCATCGCTAGCCTAATCATGAACATTAAAAATGCGCCAGTGGAGAAAGGGCCCGATGGTTGAGTGAGCCGGACTTTGCAGCGCCCGGACAGGCATTTTACACTCGACCAGCACATCCGTAAGGCATCCCGTCATCGAAGCCGAGCGGGAGGGCGCCCCGCGCGCTCCGGCGTGCTCTATCTACTACTGACGCAATGGACGCCCACAATCGCGCCTTATCGGAGTAAGTCGCAGCCCGGCTGGTTCGAGTGTGTGCTCACCAAATTGCCGCAAATTAAATTTATGCCTTTCATACGGGGTAGCTGAGAGCAGCCTTCGAACTTCCTCGCGTGAACGAACGCAAGCAATCGACGGACGAGTTAATTTGTATGAAACTCCAGGCCACGAGTTGATATGCATCAATTGGGCCACGGACAACAACGCATGCTTTTGTCACCGTGAGTTTTAAATGATTAAAAAACGTGTCGGCAGCAAACGTGGACCGCAACTCAGATCCCGAAACCCATCTCATGCAAAAGCACGCAATAACTAATCATATTGACTCGGCGTGTAACGCCACTGCCGCATCATGTACACCATGCCCAGATTACCAAATCCATTACGGGCCAGGGTTCTTGTCTAAGGAAAATGTGTTAAGAGTACAGGCATCGCAAATATTGGCACCAAGGGCACCATGGTCATATATCCAGATGGTGATGGTTGGAGTTTTACGGCGCCCACTAGCATGGTAATTTTGCGCTCAATATTGTACCAAGCAATGATACAGATGTTATGTTCTCTGTCATACCTGGGTGTTCCTCCCCCCCCCCCCCCCCGCTTCGTTGCTTCGCATGTGTGCACATGCAGGGTCGTTATCGGTATAATAACATCATATTGCACCTGTCCTAGCAGAAACACCGCGTGTTTTGCACTCGGTTTGTCAAAATTTCGCGTCGTTTGGCCGCTTACAAATGCGCACACATAGGACGTGTGCTGTCTGCGCGTGCAGGAAAAAGGCTCGATGGGTTAATATGCGCTCAACATCACGGCAGAAAGACGCCCTTGACGTACTTACCTGTTTTTTCCTTAATTTCCATAAGTACGGAGAAGAGGGCGTTTTTCATTCGATGACAGTTCAGCGTATGCTTCCTGGAAAATTCGGTACTGAAATTAAAGAAACGTCGTTATTAAAGCGAAAGGTTGTCACATTAATGCAGAAGAAAACTGATTATTGAGGGCTAGTACAATGTTTTGGGTCCAATCGACCCATCTCTCGGGATGTCCAAAAATGCATCACACACTGACAGCCATTAATGGTCACAGAACTACTAATAGCTAACAAACAGCACAGCGGTAGCACAATTGTATACAGGCCGGAGAACCGCGGCGCATACCAATCCCCGTAATTTCAACAGATAGCGGTAGCACGTGCGAGTCATATTCTGCTCCAATGCAGTTAACTTTGCAGATGAGAGAATGTGGTATGCTCAGTTCAATAACAACTCAGTCCAACTGCCTGGAAAAATCTCATCTCAGTTAGGCGAGAATGTTGGCTTCAGGAGTGCGCACTAAGCAAAACTCGAACTGTGTCATACTTCTACATTATTTGGCTTGAAATATATGGGTGAAACTACCAGAAAGTGGATTTCTCACATCGTGACTTACGGAAACGTGACCCCCTTCTCAAAGTCATGGCGTAGTCAGAAATCAGTGATTCAACGTTGACAACTGAAAATTTGGGATGGATACACAAAACAAATGGATCAGGGGCAAATAATATCACTTCACGCCATCGAAGAAATTTCGCTTGCATGCGGCACTTGTCTTCCTGCGGCAATGTGTTATGTGCCCTCGTTGCGAAATCCTGCACACGCCCATGCTACCCACACAGAAGATGAAACTATGCGTTATATTCGACAGTGCGCGCGAGATAATGCGTGCATCGCCCTTACTTTGGTGTCCTCGACGCATACTTGTCACAGACGGCAATGATTTTGAAAAGTTCGGAACCACCGCATGGTCTTGCCCATTTATCACAAATAATAAACGAACAAAAGGGCCCAATGATAGCAATAATGCAACGAATTTCGGTCACAACAACTAGGAAAAGAAACAGAAGAGGCAGCAGATGTTTTTCGATACATTTCACGACTTCGCCTTCAGTGTTTGGATGTAGTAGTGGTCACTTGCCCGACAATCAATGTAGATAAATGCATGCCACGCGCAAACACATCCCGTGCTGAGAGCCATAGTTATACCGTTAACATGTTGGAAAAAACAAGGTGTGCTGGATTGCAGGGATGGACAGCCTCTCCCCAAAAAACAACAAACCATGGTAACACCCTTGCGTCGCTCGCGAGATTGGCGCCACCAGCGACACGATGTAGCGGCCAATACCCGTGCCCGGGTGATCACCGCTGGGCAAGTGCCATTACTAAGATGGCCAGTATTTTTCCAGCATACGGGCCACTACAGACTCAGGTAGCAACATGGCGTCCCGCGTCCCGGCTGGCCTGAGCGACACCAGCCGGCGCCCCTGAGCAGGGCCGGGTCGGGCCGGCGGGCCGTCGGCATTCCCGGCCCTGCTCGGCCGACCCGTCCGGCGGCCGGCGGGCCGCCACCAGCCGCCCGGCGCCCGCCGGCCGGCCCCCGCTTACGCCGCAAGTCACGCCGATTTGGCGACACATGGGTAATGTCCCGAGAAGGGCATAATTGCACCTAACTGGCGGCGCACCGGATGGCACGTGGTGCCGCGTGATGGGACCTCTGGCCTAAGCCGGTTACCGGGTACCGCACTTCGCTTCCCTACAGGATTGGGGCGCTGCCTTGGAATCGTTGACTGGAGGTGTTTATGAAAATTGGTTTGTGGGATACCAATTGTTTAAACACGATAGTAAATATGGTATAAATGACCTGTGGATAGGGAAGCTGTAGAACTCCTTCAAGTTTTCACAATGTATCCAGATGGATTCAAAATTTGACGGAAAAAAAATGTCCAAGACCCGATTCGTGGAGGCACAGGTGATTTCGTGTCGCAACAACAGACGACGTACAATGATTATTTTGTGCGTCCGCCGGTGGGGGGAAGGGGGGGTCGGTTGCTGGACTCGACGGAGTTACAAACAATAGTAGGACATTCCTGCAATGTACTGACCTGGCTTGAGCCTCGTCTAAGCTCTGTTCGGTGATAGTCATGATCTGTTGCAGAATCTCCCCAATGTCTTGCTTCCTCGGCTCACCCTCGGTGTTGGCCTGCCCGTTGGGGTCCATCTGGGGCTGCATACCGTAGCCCATGCCGTACTGTTGCCCCTCCATATCTGAGCACACACACTAGATCCCACGGCACAATCGCGATCACAGCAACACCAACACGCACGACTTTGTTTTATGGCGAAACGTAAGTCACAGATGAAAATAATAACTCATTCCGCCACAAGACGTCAATGGTATGACGACCATAAAATCCTGCGTCCAGCACTCGTTTACGGCCGTCTCACCGGGTCCGCCGACCAATGGCCTTCTTTGTTTAGTCGTCATTCTCGGCCAACGGCCCTGAGGAGGGCCTCGCTGGTTGGCGATGCGCGCGCCACCTGGAGGGCGGGCGGGCTACCGAGCCGACGGTGCCAAGTTATTTAATGGAGATAGAAATTGGAGAAAAGCAAAGGATTGAACATAAAGAAATAAATTTGATAAAAATTATTGGGTAATCTGTAAATATAGCCACAAATGTGGAGGTTCAATGAGGACTACATCTGGTTAGTGCTGGGAGAAATCAGCAAATACAGCACTATTGCAAGGAGTTGGAGATAAGAACGTCCTTATGTTTGCTATACGTAAAAATTTCTAGGTTTTTTCTGCTCTAAATATTTACACTCACCAGCATTTTTTTTTTTGCCGGTTACTGTAGTTAAACGCCCGTACTCGAATTAACTTGAAGGCCACTAACTTTTATTCCCCCCTCCCGTTGCTGGAAGACGTATATAAAGAAAAGTGCAAAATTGATTAAGAATAAATATTTATATAGCACTTAAAGACAAGATTGTTCTTTGAAAAATATTAAAAGTGTTTTTAAAATAAAAAAACATAGTAAAATCATCACAAATTATGTGTTTATTTTAACTTCAGTGGATACGGCACCTGCTGGACGTTTTAAGCAACTCCCATTATTGCCGTGGGGCGGAGCAATCGTGCAATAAATCAGCTGCTCCTCCTCCTCGACGAAGCCCAGCCCCCCTGAAAACTCACTGAATGACCTAAGGAAGGATCGTGTTCACGTCTTGCCCCAGTAACAGACAACACTTTTTTGATAGGCGGTGGGCAACATAGCTGAATAGTGAAAAGTAAAAAGGAGCAATCTATAAACAGGAGGCGTTCGGCCGAGAGCACATCACGCAGGTGCGAAACGTACCATGCCTATCAGTCGCGTGAATGCCAATGTCCGACGAGTTGAAACTCTTAAAAGCGATGGGGATGAGGGAGGAGGCAAAAGAACTGATCCTACCTTATCCCGCCCCGTCGTCGAAGCAGTGGCATGCTTGTAAGCTGTCTTTTGGCTGGTGGATTACATTTTTGAGGGGTCAAACACAACGGCACCAACACCTTACCTAGACCGCGTTAGCATCTAAAGCGTCGTTTCTCCCATGCCTTACACAACTTATGCAACATGATAACATTAACCCGTAGCAAAAAACAACGTCGAGCATTCACTCCGTCTCGACGCGTGGAAAGAATTGACGAAAATCGGAGCGCCCCCCATGCGCTCGTCTGCCGTGCTCCCCATTACATTTGCGCTTTCTACGACCCGACGTGGCGGATTATTCGTTACTCCCTGCGCTCAAAACACCTGTTTGGTTTCAGATATCTGATTTCAGCAAATAATGGGCCCGTACTGGGTGTAGCTCTTACGAAGCCCTATCAGCTTGTTAAGAACCTACTTGTTCAGGGAGGCAGTGGAGCAAGAAGCCACAATGCGCCCGCCTGGCAACAAGCGGGTGTTACTGGTTGGATGATGTTTGGTAATGTGATGGCATGGTGCAGGAGACGAATGCACAGAATTGCTTCTGACCAATAAGGGTGTTGGTACAGCCAAGGAGCCAGCTTGACCTGCCAAAAACCAAAACCAAGCAGCCAGGGGTGTCAATTTTTGTAAAATCATTGAGAGGGGTCGAACCCAAGGCCTGGTAAGCGACTCCCTTTCCCCCCTCATTTATTTGTTACCGGATTGTGCCCACTTTATTTTCATTAAACGGAATATATGTTTTTTAGCTCTATATCATTGCTACAAGTCTTCGAATTAAGCAGTATAGAAGTATGTAGGGTCGAATCCAGGGAACAGGCACAGGACGCACGCACTCCTACTGTTCGGCACGTGAAGGCGGCCCTTTAGAAGCCACCTTAGGGCCCCGATGGCGCTCTTCTATGGCAGTCATGGGAGGCGGCACGCATTTTGGTTGTAGGGACGGGAACGGGATTAGCCATGAAGTACTTAGGTCATCCCCATGTCCCAGATCTTTTCACTTTAACCTCACAAACCATTGCGTGTCTTATGGCGCTAGGCATGTGAAGTTTATTGCATCGTTTATTCGCTCAGCTGTTACGATTTGTATCTTGTGGTGAGAGCAATCGTGACTTTTGTTATGAGAGTGGTACGAGACGCCACTGTGCAGAAAGATCAAAGAAGAAAGTCTTTGTATTATTATAATACTCTACCCACGTGTTTTTGTAGTATCCCAGCCAAAAACATTGAGGGTCAAACTCAACATTGGGGGGGGGGGGGAGGGCCCACACAAAAGAATACAAATCGTCACCCTTGCATGCATGGAGCCCTGACCTTGCGGAAGCTAACGCCGGCAAATCAAAAACGGAACTAGTGAACTAGCCGTTTTGTAGAAATTCATAATGTTGGGCTGTTGCACACAGAAGGGCGTCCCATTTATATACCTGTTAACGATATTCTGCTTGAGATACAGCCGTGGCACGCTTAAAATCACTTATCGTATCTGAAAAATATGGCCCTGCCCGGCCAACTTCCAAAGCGGCCACCAAATTTGTTTTCTCTCAGTCATAGTTTTAGTCGATCATTGCATGAAGGGTGCGTGCTATCGGTGTAGAGGAGAGCTACTGTCACTCCTATGCCGAAGAAAACATCGCCGAAGGCGCCGGGAAACCTGCGGTCCCTAAGCCTCGCAATAACTTCTAGCAAGGTTTTGGAGAAAACTATTGTTTCGTTAATTCTGGCGGACATAAAACCTGGCATAGACAAGCCCCAATATGGAGATATGAAAGCTGCCTGAGCCTCACACTACTTATTTAAATTGTCGAATAATTTGCTGATAGAGTCAAATGTACCAGAAAAGTTATTCTCTGTCGTTATGTACAGTTTTGAGAAGGGATTCGACCCCATTAGTCGCACAACGGTTATCCAAAACTTTCTTGCAATGGGAATTCACTCCGGGTAGGTAAAGTGGCTGTAGTCGTTCTTGCATGACCGACATCAGTGGGTCAAGGTGCCAGATAAAGTTATGAGTCAGCAGAGAACAACAACGAGTGGCACTCCAAATGACACCCTAGCTGGCCCGGGTGCTTTCCTGGCTATGGTTAACGGTGTCGCTGCTGACATTGAGAACCGACTGAAGTATGCAGATTAATTTGCATATACCAGGCGTGTCCAACTGACCGAGTAAATCAGCCCTGCCAGGCGCAAGAGCATATTGACAATACATGTGAATGGGCAAAGCAAACAAGATGGCATGAGGCACCGATAAGTTTCAAGTCACGCAGTTTTTCGCAGTCAAGAAACTGTACGCTACGGGACATCATAATTCAAAAGAAATAGCCAACTGCCACAAAACCAACTGCCACAAAAACTAAGGTATTTGGTGAAGAAATATCAAATGGCATGCCATGGCAAGAATATGCGGATGAGATTTGAACCAAAGGATCGAAAACTCTATGCACGCTCTTCATTACGAAGACGCTCCATCCGCCACAAGGGCATCATGTCCGAGTTAAAGTTAATTACATTCGACCATTGCTAGAATATTGTGCAGTGGTTTTTCATACGGGACTCACCGACAAGCAGGCGCAACATATTGAGAAATGTAGGAGGGAGCCTTGAAAATTAGCTTCAGCTGTACGGAAAATTTCTCCACATCATGCAACGCTTGGATATGGAACCTCTGGCTGACAGAAGGGAAACTATGCCCAAGGCTAGGAAAACAAATGCAAAAGTCTCTCATGCACAGAGAAAGCAGCGAGCAACGCTCTCTGGCAAAAAACCCGGAGTGCACGTACACTCAAGACGTTTTGCTGTGGTACGCGACTACGTAAATCAGGGATGTCGCACAACTAACCTCATTAACACATACATTATATCAACTAGGTAGCATCCTCCTCCGGAGGAGCTTGCAGGCACAAGAATATCCATTGCGTCGATCGGTACAACTCACGATGAATTTTTGTCGGAAGATATTGTGTACGCGTGCTATATGAATTGATTCTCGAAGCTTTGCTTTTCTTAATCAACCGTCTCCGTCTGTCTCCTCTCTCTCACCCGTGGCCGCGCTAATGAAAGGACTATCCAAGAACATTGGGTACCTCAGTGCGCTATGGAACATGGACAGGGGAAGCAGTTGCGCAGACAACGCTAATGCCCTGGTGCGCTGAATTTAAGCTAGAGTCCTCAACTATCCCTGACGTGTATGATTCGCCACCTTGGAACCATTGCGCAGCGCTGATGAGATCAGCGAGTTATTTCATGATCAAAGTAGGCTAAAAGGGTGATTTGTTTTGTTCGAATATTGATAAACAGTGTTAACATGCGCTGTGCAAGGGTCAGATTTGAACCAATGGTACTGGATCTTTTTCCTTTTATAAGTATTATTTTCGTTTGAAATGTATGGTATTATTCTTCGCATGCACATTACCACTGCTTTTGGCTACGTGTTATGATAATGAGAGCATATACATTGTCAACATACTGTAACATGCGTATCCTCAGACCCATGCCGTCCGCTTTTACGACCACGATACTAAACAAGGCAAATGATGATGCCGGAAATGCCGCAAGTCTTTAAATGTCTACATTTACTTCATATTGAAGTCGATCACGAGCGGATAGTCATAAAACCCGTTGGCCCATTATCTACCGCACCCCGAGGTAACTGCTGCAGTAACTCCGCGTTATTACTGTAGTAACCTCGCGTTATTTTCGCTTCTGACACTCGGGCTCTCCTCCAGCCCTGCTGACTGCTGCAGTGGGCTGTTTTGGCACAAATAGCAGAGGACATTGAAACATCACGAGGAGATTAGTTGCCATTATATCGCCATCTTTTACCGTTCCAACAGTTTGCAACTTCCAGCCGTGATGGTCAACCAGCTGAGACTACGCTTCGCTCACTGGCTGGTCCATGAGTTAAGTATTAATGAGTTATGAGTGATGTTTAGTTGAGTTGAGTTATGAGTTAAGTTATTACAAATTATGAGTTAAGTTACATAAGTGTGCAGATTCTGTTCGCATCATC